TTGAAATGTTTTAAATTATGGGCCAAACTTTATTTAATTGTTTTAAATCTATTTTAACTTTGGTGTACAAATGTTTTACTTTGGCTGTTCACCGCCCTGAGTCCGAAAGGAGAAGGGCGGTATAGAAATCCGAAAATAAAATAAAATAAATAAATAAAATAAAATAAATGCATACTTGGCTAGTGGCTCAGTGGCTAAGACTGATGGGGTTTGAATTCTACATTAATTTTAACTTGTCAGTCTTGATTGTACTTTTAGCTGTTAAATTATGAGATCTGGATTTTATTTTTTAACTTTTTATTAAGATGTTGCTTAACTGTTGTGAGCCGCCCTGAGTCCGGCTGGAGATAGGGCGGCATATAAATCTCATTAATAAAGAAATCATTAATAAATAAATAAGACGCTAGAGCTTGTCGATCAGCAAGGTCGACAGTTCGGCGGTTCGAATCTCAAGTATAAGTCTCCTGCCTGAGCAGCGGAGTTGAGCTAGATGACCTCCAAGGTCCCTTACAACTCTGTTACAGTTACTTTCCCCCGCCCCCCAACTCATAAAATGCGTCCCAAGTCAGAAACTAAAGCAAGGTTCCTTACGTGTCGAGGGGAGAAACTGAGGCAGGATTTATAGCATGCTCTCATTAATATTCTTTTGTATATTATTTGTAGAATTGATACTATACAGAATGGTTTTTAGACAGGTAGCTCTGGACTTCAGATCACAATGGAGCCCAACACTGCTAAACGAGGCAGTGGTTAGAGATACAGATTAACAGAGTTGGAAGGGACCTCGGAGGTCATCTAGTCCAACCCCCCCACCACCACCCCCAAGCAGGGGACCCTACACTGTTTCTGACAGATGGCAGTCCAGTCTCTTCTTGAAAGCCTCCAGGGATGAAGCTCCCACAACTTCTGAAGTTACAGAAGTTCTCCCCCTCCTTTGATGAACTTTCTTGCCACCGTTGTTAAGTGAATCACCACAGTCGTTAAGTTAGTCACACGGTTGTTAAGTGAATCTGGCTTCCCCGTTGCTTGTCCGAAGGTCGCAAAAGGGGATCTTGCGACCGTCATAAATATGAGTCCGTTGCCAAACGGCTGAATTTTGATCTCATGACCATGGGGGACGGTCGTAAGTGTGAAAAATGGGCATAAGTCACTTTTTTCAGTGTTCTTGTAACGTTGAGCGGTCACTGAAGGGACTGTTGTAAGTCGAGGACTACCGGTATATGTTTTTTATTATACCAGATTGTATTATACAGGTAAGAATATAACTGAGCCCCAAATTTCCGTTGCTAAGTGAGATAGTCGTTAAGTGAGTTTTGCCCCATTTTACGACCTTTCTTGCCACGGTTGTTAAGTGGAGCGCCGCAGTCGTTAAGTTAACCACACGGTTGTTAAGTGAATTCCGGTTGTCAGGTCGTATGAAGGGGATTGCGTGACCCCCGGGACACTCAACTGTCGTAAATACGAGATAAACGTCTGCATTTTAATCACATGAGTTGCACCCCTATGGGGGAAGGTCTTGGGGCCCACAAGACTCCTCCCCTTTTGCACACTCATGGTGGGATAGGATTGGGACATAAAGACTCCTCCCCCTTTTGCACTCATGAGGGGCTTAGGGCCCACGACCCCTCCTCTTTTGCACACTCATGGGGGGGCTTGGGGCACACAAGACCCCTTCCCTTTGCACACTAATGGGAGATGGGATTGGGATGTACAAGACTCCTCCCCTTTTGCACACTCAGGGTAGGGTCTTGGGGCACAGAAGACCCCTCCCCTTTGCACACTCATGGGGGGATGGGATTGGGACATAAAGACTCCTCCCCTTTTGCACACTCATGAGGGGCTTGGGGCCAAGACCCCTCCCTTTTTGCACACTCATGGGAGATGGGATTGGAATGTACAAGACCCTCCCCTTTTGCACACTCAGGGCAAGATCTTGGGGCACAGAAGACCCCTCCCCTTTTGCACACTCATGGAGGACAAACTTTGGGCACAGAACCCCCCCCCCCTTAACCACTGGAATTGAAGGGTAGTTGTCCTCTGTGCTGGAGGAGCTTTCCACCTCCTGCTCGAAGGGCAGAGCCATCTTGGGGTGCCCAGAAAGACTAGAGGATGCAGGGCGTCCTCTTGTGGGAGGGGGCTGCTTTCACTTGCCACCCCCCAATCCTCGACCAGCCTGGGCTGTTCCTGGGCAGGGCCAGCAAGGAGAGGGAGCGGTTGGAAAGGAAGGGAAGGGAAAGGCCAATCCCTCTCTGTCTCTCTCTGTCTCGTAGCCCAGCCCACCTCACAGGGTTGTTGTGAGGAAAGGAGGAGGAGGAAGGAGTATTGTGTGCATTCGCCACCTTGGCTTATTTGTAATAATGCAGCTAGTCCTCATGACCAGAATGGAGCCCAAAAGTTCCCTCGCGAGGCGAGACAGCGCTTCAGTGAGTTTTGTCCCATTTTACGACTTTTCCTGCCACCGTCGTTAAGTGAACCATCGCAGCCGTTTGTCACTAAGTGAATCCGGCTCCCCCAGGGACCTTGTCAGGTGGTCGCAAAAGGGGATCACGTCACTCTGGGACAGCCCAACGGTCATAAATACGAGTCAGCCTCTGAATTGGGATCACATGACCTTGGGGGGGGGGATGCTGCAACGGCCGTAAGTGTGAAAAACAGTCCTAAGTCGCTTTTTTCAGTGCCGTTGTAACTTTGGTCACTAAATGAACGGTTGTTAAGTCGAGGACTACCTGTAAGAGGGGGAAGGTGCGGTGGATAGATTCACTGCCTTATTTATTTATTTATATGCCAATTTATATTACAATTTATTTGTAAAAATAATGCCAAATAATATTTTAAAAAGGTCCAAAAAAGTAAAAAAATAATAATGCAAATAATAATGGTGAGGAGGGGGGGGAATTATCTCCAAGACCCCCCCCCAACCCCATCCTTCCCCAGCTCCATCCCTGACACTTTCACGGCCCCTCCCTAAAGGAGCCACTGCTGCCCTCTGTAGGCCACTCTTGGTACTGTGTACAAGTAATCTTCGACTTACGACAATTGAACTCAATGCTTCCGTTGCTGAGCGAGACGTTGACTAAGTGAACTTGGCTCCGTTTTACGACCCTTCTGGCCGCGGCTGTTAAGCGAATCCCTGCAGTCGTTAAGTGAGTCGCGCGGTTGTTGAGCGAATCCAGCTTCCTCATGGACTTTGCTGGCCAGGAGGACCCTGGGACACTGCCACCGTCGTAAATCTGAGTCAGCGGTCAAGCCTCTGAATTTTGATCACGTGAACGGTCGTAAGTGTGAAAAACTAAAACACATGAAGAACGGTTGCAGGACTTGGGTTTGGCTAGTCAAGAGAAAAGAAGGACTTTGGGGAGGGGGGAGATACAATAGCATCTTCCAATATTTGAGGGGCTGCCCCCAAAGAAGAGTTGGGGGTCAATTTATTCTCCAAAGCACCAGAAGGCAGGAGAAGAAGCAACGGATGGAAACTCCATCAAGGAGAGAAGCAACCTGGAATTAAGGAGAAACTTCCTAACAGGGAGGACAATTAACCAGTGGAACTGCTTGCCACCAGAAGTTGTGGGTGTTTCATCACTGGAGGTTTTTAAGAAGAGACTGGGCAGCCATTTGTCTGAAAGGGTATAAGGTCTCCTGCTTGTGCAGAGGGCTGGACTAGAAGACCTCCAAGGTCCCTTCCAACTCTCTGATTCTATTATTTGATGGATGGATGGATGGATGGGAGGGAGGAGGAGGAGGAGGAGGAAGGAAGGAAGGGCAATGGATGGAAACTAATCAAGGAAAGAAGCAACCTGGAACTAAGCAGTGACAGTGAGAACAATTAACCAGTGGAACTGCTTGCCACCAGAAGCTGTGAATGCTCCAACACTGGAGGTTTTTAAGAAGAGATTGGATAACCATTTGTCTGAAATGGTATAGGGTCTCCTTCTTGAACAGGGGTTGGACTAGAAGACCTCGAGGGTCCCTTCCAACTTCCAATTATTCTGTAGTTCTGTAAGATGCACAATTTTTTAATTGGGGGAGGCTTAGATTCCTGCTTTGGATTCTGGGGCAAAGAAAAAGAAAAAAACGCCTGTGAGGCTTGCAGATCAAAGCCGATGCCGCCTGCAAAACCATCAGGGAAGGAATTAAAAAAAAATGCGGAGGCTGCAAAACTATTTATTTATCATTTTCTGCCTCTCATGTAGGCCCCCCCGGCCCTCTCCTGAACCCTGCAAGGTAGGTGGGGGAGAGAGAGAGAGAGAGCTCAGCTCGAATTTCCTGGTGGAGCCTGGAGGGTAGATTGGAACTCGGGTCTCCCTGCGGCTAATTCGGAACTTTCTAGTCCCGCCTTAGGCATAGAAGTCGGTTGGGTGACTTTCAGCCAATCACCAGGAGACGATTAGTTCTAGTCCCGCCTTAGCCATTGAAAGCCAGCTGGGTGATTCTGGGCCAATCGCAAGGAGACCGTGAGTTCTAGTCCCGCCTTAGGCGTAGAAGCTGGTTGGGTGAATTTCAACCAATGACCAGGAGATTACGAGTTCGAGTCCTGCCTTAGCCATGAAAACCAACCGGGGGACTTTGGTCCAATCAGGAGGCTTTGATTGTTGTTAAGTGAGTCCGGCTTCCCCCATTGACTTTGTTAGAAGGTACACATAATCCCGGTACACTGTGTCCGTCATAATATGAATCAGTTGCCAAGTGTTTGAACTTCGATCACATGACCATGGGGAGGCTGCAATGGTCATAAGTGTGAAAAACCGACGTAAGTCACCTTTTTTCCGGTGCCGTTATAACTTTGGTCACTAAACGAGTGGTTGTAAGTTGAGGACTACCTGTGACCTGCCCTAAATTGCTGCACAACCTTTTTATGGATATTGGACCAGCAAAAAAAAAACAAAAAAAACAAAACTGTTTTTATTCCTTCGAATTAATCCAATGCAATCTCATTCATAGGCCGTTTCCATCTTCCTTTGCAAGGCGCTAGTCCCTAAGATCAAACCAGGAGACCAAAAACGTCAATTCAGGCAAGTGTTTTAATTAAAATACTTCATAGCACCATAAGAGTTGTTGAGGACATAGGAAATGCGGTTTATTTATTTATTTATTATTATTTTGCAATGCTTCCCTTTCACTGGGGGGGGGGAGGGAAGGGGGGGAGGTCTTGGCCGGCCTGTTTTTATAACAATTGTTCGCTCTGCCTTCCCCGTGGGGAAGGGGAGATCTCGCCAAAGGGAGATCCCACCAAAAGGAGATCCCACCAACTGGAATCCTGTTGAGCAAAAGAAAAAAAAAAAAAGAAAACTATCTTTCTCCAACCTGGTGCCCTCAGGTAAGACGCATCGCAGACTGTCCAGTTATCGGTCCGGAGGCCATTATGAACGTTAAGATATATTTTCCTTATATTATTATTATTATTTTTTTTGCTTTGAATAGAATTCAGTAAAGGAAATCGGCCAGCCAGGTTGTCGAAAAACCAGCCTGAAAAAGATGGGGACAGGTAGAAATGACAGGATAACAGACCCACATCGCCCCGAATCTCTTATCCTCCGACGAGGCAGCAGGGCAAGGACCCCCAAGGGTGGGGGGATCCATCCTCTCCCCCCCCCCCAGAATGGTGCATCTCGATTCAAGGGTGCAAAACCCTCCATTTCCGGTTTAGAAAGAGTCCTACTAAAATCTTCCATGTTTTTTTTTTCTTTTTGAATACAGCTCGTTCAAAAGAACCCCTTCCCCGTTTTAGAATGAGTGCGTTAAGATGAGTTTAAAAAGCCATTTAAAAAAAAAAAAAGAAAGAAAGAAAGAAAGAAAAGAAGGGGGCACCGTGTTACAATGAAAAGCAGAAACGCCGATGCAAGGAGACGACCCCCCCACCCCACACACACACACACCCCTGGCCAGAGGTGGACGGCGCCTTCTGAAGGGTGGGGGGGTGGGGGGTGGTATGTGTGAATGTTAGCACCTCTAGCTGGGAAGTCGGTCCTCCCATCCATCCCGGGCTGCAGACCCCGTCCCCCCCCCCGCTCCGGGGCTCCCGCCGGCTTGGAGTTGACCCAGAAGGAGAGGGGGGGTGGTCCCCTCCTTCTCCCGACTGCTCAGTGGGCCAGAGCCCCCATGGGATCCCAGGCGGGCAGGCAAAAAGGCTCCTGCTGCAGCACGTCCAGGACCTCCTCTGGGACGTGTTTGCGGTCGATGACCACTTCGTACACGAACTCCGAGAACCAGTCGTCCGTCATCAGCAGGTAACCTACAAGGGGGAACAGGGGAGGGAGAGTCAGGTAGCTGTAACCACTAGGCTGCGACCGCAGTCCAGGGGAAGGTTGCTGCAAAATCCCCATTCCCACCCCTCTCCAGGGGAAGGATACTGCAAAATCTCCATTCCCACCCCTCTCCAGGAAGGATACTGTAAAATCTCCATTTCCTCCCCACTGCAGGGGAAGGATACTGTAAAATCTCCATTCCCTCCTCAATCCAGGGGAAGGATACTGCAAAATCTCCATTCCCACCCCACTCCAGGGGGAAGGATACTGTAAAATCTCTATTCCCACCCCTCTCCAGGGGGAAGGATACTGTAAAATCTCCATTCCCACCTCACTACAGGGGAAGGATACTGCAAAATCCCCATTTCCTCCCCACTCCAGGGGAAGGATACTGTAAAATCTCCATTCCCTACTCAATCCAGGGGAAGGATACTGCAAAACCTCCATTCCCACCCCTCTCCAGGAAGGATACTGTAAAATCTCCATTTCCTCCCCACTCCAGGGGGAAGGATACTGCAAAATCTCCATTCCCACCCCTCTCCAGGGGGAAGGATACTGCAAAATCTCCATTTCCTCCCTACAGCAGGGGAAGGAGACTGCAAAATCTCCATTCCCACCTGACTCCAGGGGAAGGATACTGCAAAATCCCCATTTCCTCCCGATCAGCTGGGACTCGGGAGGCAGAGAATCGATGGTCAGAATTTTTACTACCGGTTCTCCGAACTACTCAAAATTTCCGCTACGGGTTCTCCAGAACTGCTCAGAACCTGCTGAAACCCACCTCTGACATACACACACACAGAGGCCCACATTTTGTTCAGAGGAATTGTGCTTCACCGCGCTTCGCTGGCCTCCCCAGCCCACTTCCCGCTGGACAAGCCCACTTCTGCCAAGATCCAGTCCAGGCAAGTCGCATCCACTGAATCATCGCTTACAAAACCACCGTCACGGAAGGAGGAGATGGAGAGGAGAACTTAAGAGACTCTGAAGGTCTGGAGATGTTCAGTCGTTTGATGACCGCCAATCAAAGATTTGTCTAACACAGGGATGTCCAACCTTGGCAACTTCAAGACTTGTGGACTTCAAGTCCCAGAATTCCCCAGCCTTTCAGAGGGGTGGACACAGTATGCCAGCTGGGGGATTCTGGGAGAGGAAGTCCACCCCTCTTAAAGCAGGCTGACTGGGGAATTCTGGGAGTGGAAGTCCACCCCTCTTAAAGCAGGCTGACTGGGGGATTCTGGGAGTGGAAGTCCACCCCTCTTAAAGCATGCTGACTGGGGGATTCTGGGAGTGGAAGCCCACCCCTCTTAAAGCCAGGCCAGCTGATTGTGTGAGTGTGATTTCAAGGTGTGCTAATGGCCAGGAAAAGGGGAAACTGAGGATTCAGCCCCACGATGCAAAATCTGGCCTTTGCACTTTCTCTCGCTTTGAGGGAAAAAAAAAAAAAAAACCAGGACAAAATGTACAGGGAACACGGAGATTTCAGGGAGTGTTTTTTGGAAACAAAACTCAAGAAAAAGCAGATTTGATAACCTCGGGGGCTGAGGAAATTCCTGCGTATCGGAGGAAGTCCCTTTGCAGTGGGAACAATGCCCTCTGACGTGGGGGGAGAGGTCAGGGCTGCCAGAGGGAGCCCCTCCCTCCCCCCCAACTTGGGAATGTGGGGGGGAGGCTTGGCAGGAAAGGTGGGGCGAGACCCCAAGAATGGGTTCTGACTTCCTCCCTAACTTCTCGCTCTCCATCCCGCCCCCCCGCTTTAGAGGTTTGACGTCAGTCTCTGAATCCCAGCCAGACTCTGCTTCCAAACGGAACTTTGCTACAGGTAGTCCTCGACTTATGACTGCAATTGGGCCCAGTACAGGTAAGTCCTCGACGTACGACCATAAATGAGTCCAATACAGGTAGGTCCTTGATTTATGACTGTAAGAGTCCAATACAGGTAGTTCTCGACTTACGATCGCAATTGAGCCCAATACAGGTAAGTCCTCGATGTACGACCGTAAGTAAGGTAAGTCCTTGACTTACAACTATAAGTGAGTCCAATACAGGTAAGTCCTCAACTTATGACTGCAATTCAGCCCAATAGAGGTAAGTCCTCAACTTTTTTTTTTTTTTGCTTTAAATTATATGCCGCCCTTCTCCGGAGACTCAGGGCGGCTTACAATGCGCTAAGCAATAGCCTTCATCCTTTTGTATATTTATACAAAGTCAGTTTATTGCCCCCACAAACTGGGTCCTCATTTCACCTTTGAAAGGATGGAAGGCTGAGTCAACCTTGAGCCTGGTGAGATTCGAACTTGCAGTAATTGCAAGCAGCAGATGTTAATAACAGTGCTTTAGTCCACTGTACTACAGGCTCTTGCAACTTACAATCTCAACTGAGCCCAATACAGGTAAGTCCTCGACTTACGACTGCAACTGAACCCCAAATGTCTATTGCTAAAGCAAGACATTTGTTAACTGAGTATTGTCCCATCTTTATGGCCTTTCTTGCCCCAGTTGTTAAGTGAATCACTGCAGATGTTAAGTTAGTAACACGGCTGTTAAAATGAACTTTGCTTGTCAGGTGATCCCCGAGACTCTTAAACTGTCATAAATGTGAGTCATTTGTGAAATCACGTGACCAATGGGGGATGCTTGCAACAGTCACAGGAGTGAAAAACGGTCGTTTTTCAGGGACCTGGCAACTTTAAACAGTCACTATACAAACTGTTGTAAGTCAAGGATTAACTACCTGTCTAGGATTTAATTCTTTTGTTATTATTTGGGGGCTACATTTTGTCCTCCTTGTTGTGTTTTTGGGTTCCTGAGGATTTTGCAAGCTACAGTAATGGCCAAAATTGTGGAAACCTTTTGGGAAAAGTATATTTTCTAAAACTAGCTAATAACACCACTTCTTTTTTTGGCAGTAGTACCATAAAATTATATATCATTGGAAAGATAATTTAATCAAGAATGTAATGCAATCACTTTTAGGAAGGATTTGCTATGAGAATAGCAGTTACGGTATAAAGAAGAAAAGTGAAACATGTAGAAAAAATGAGATATACAAAAATGATCCCCATGTCAGTTAATACTTAAAGTTAATACTTAACCTTTAGCATGAATGACGGCCTTACAACGTCTTCCCATGGAGTGAACCAAGTCTTTGAGTTCTGCAGCTTTTCTAATGTGAAACCGAGATTGAATGATGGCTTCTATTAACTGGGTTTTATTGCTAGGTTGCTTCTGACTAACCAGTTTCTTTAGTTGGCTCCCTAGATTTTCCATTGGGTTAAGAAGGTCTGGGCTCTTCCCAGGTTATTCCATCAGTGGAATAGGATAATCTTGAAACTCTCTCTCAAAAAAAATGGTGTTATTAGCCATCAAACCTCAAAAATACACTTTTCCCAAAAGGTTTCCCCAATTTTGGCCACGACTGTAAAGAGAGCCCGTTTTCCCAGCCAAAAGGTTCGCTTAAACGGCGTCAGCTTTCGTCTTCCACAGCTCCCTTCATCCGATGGAGCTGCAGGTCCCGGCAGCTGGCGCCTTTTAATAAAAAGTAGGTCGTTGTTTAAAAAATGTGCTTTTTGCCAAAGGGTCTTGCAAATTTCTTCTGCGGGAACAGGGGGATTTTTTGCAAAGTAGGTCACTCCAAGCCTCTGGAGAAGGCAAATCCAGAGGAACGCCTACACGGGTAGTCCTCGACTTACGACCGCAATTGAACCCCCCAAATGTCTACTGTTAAGCAAGACATTCGTTAAGTGAGTATTGTCCCATTTTATGGCCTTTCTTGCCCCCGTTGTTAAGTGAATCACTGCAGCTGTGAAGTCAGTCACGCGGTTGTTAAGTGAATCTGGCCTTCCCCGTTGACTTTGCTGGTAGAAGGTCGCAAAAGGGGATCGATCACGAGACCCCGGGACGCTGCAACCGTCATAAATATGAGTCAGTTGCCAAAGCGTCCGAACTTTGATCCCCGTGGGGACGCTGCAACGGTCGTAAGTGTGAAAACGGTTGTAAGTCACTTTTTTCAATGCCGCTGTACCTTTGAATGGTCACTAAATGAATTGTTGTAAATTGAGGACTATCTATAATCAGAGGGGCTTTGCTGTGTTTAAATCCTGAAAGCTTGAAATGGCCCCCCTGTGAAGGAATGGAATGGAATAGAATAGAAAATATGGAATAGAATAGAATAGAACAAGCATAGGAATAGAATAAAATAGAAGAGAAGAATAGAGTAGAGTAGAGTAGAATAGAATAATAGAATAGAATAAAATAGAATAAGCACAGGAATAGAATAGAATAGAATAGAATAGAATAGAATAGAATAGAATAGAATAGAATAGAATAGAATAGAATAGAAGTACAGAATATAGAAGAGTAGAATAAAATATAATGAGAATAGAATAGAATAGAATAACAGAGCTGGGAGGGACCTTGGAGGTCATCTAGTCCAACCCCCCGCCCAAGCAAGGAGCCCCTACACCCTTTCTGACAGAGGACAGTCCAGTCTCTTCTTGAAAGCCTCCAGGGATGAAGCTCCCACAACTTCCGAAGGCAACTTCTGTTCCATGGATTAATTGTCCTCACTGTCAGAAAATTCCTCCTTGTTTCCAGGTTGAATCTCTCCTTGTTCAGTTTCCATCCATTATTCCTTGTCTGGCCTTCGGGTGCTTTGGAAAACAGCTTGACCCCCTTCCTCCTCTCTGGGGCAGCCCCTCCAATATTGGAAGATGCTCTCCTGTCTCCCCTGGTCCTTCTCTTCACTAGACCAGCCAGGCCCAGTTCCTGCAACCGTTCATCGTATGTTTGAGCCTCCAGTCCCCTCATCATCCTGGTTGCTCTCCTCTGCACTCTTTCCAGAGTCTCAACATCTTTTCTATAGTGTGGCGACAAAAACCGGATGCAGTACTCTAGGTGTGACCCTACTAAGGCTTTATAGATAGCTAGACAGTCATTCATTCATTCATTCATTCATTCATTCATTCATTCTATCTATCTATCATCTATCCATCTATCTATCTATCTATCTATCTATCTATCTATCTATCTATCTATCATCCATCCATCCATCCATCCATCCATCCATCCATCCATCCATCCTATCCATCTATCCATCTATCTATCCATCCATCCATCCATCCATCCATCCATCCATCTATCTATCATCCATCCATCCATCCTATCCATCCATCCATCCATCCATCCATCCATCCATCCATCCATCCATCTATCATCTATCTATCTATCTATCTATCTATCTATCTATCCATCCATCCATCCATCTATCCATCTATCTAGCTATCCATCCATCCATCCATCCATCCATCCATCCATCCATCCATCTATCTATCTAATCTATCTATCTAGGCTAGGGATCAGCAACCTTAAAGACTCAAAGAGCCACAAAGGTCCTAACCAGAAGCCCCCGTTCAATTCTAGAGTCAACCAAAAATCCGGTTCCTGCACCATAGAGTCTCCTCCTAGCGCGGCATTCTTTTTCCTCTACCTGTCCTAACCGAAAGCCCTATCAATTGTGGAGCCGACCAACAACAGGGAGCCGCAGCACAGGGATGAAAGAGCCACATGCGGCTCCAGAGCTGCGGGTTGCTGACCCCTGATCTAGACAGACAGACAGACAATAAGCAGATGATAGGCAAATGAGAGAGAGACAGACAGACAGACACTCTTGCAGGTAATTTGAGGAGTGGGTGGGAGAAAGCAGATTTCTTGCATGGGGAAGTGTTACCCTCCCCTTGGCTCAGCCCTGATAGAACCCCCTCCCTCTTCACCTCCCCCTTTATTTATTTATTTTATTTATTTGTTTCCATTTCTATACCGCCCTTCTCCAAATAGGACTCAGGGCGGTGAACAGCCAAAGTAAAAAACAGAACATACAAAATTTAAAAACAGTTTAAAATAATTAAATATTTCATCAGGGATGCCGTACCTTTATTCCCACGGTCTTCACCCCACGAATTCTCCACGCGCCACTTCTCGTAGCCCTCGTCCGGTTCTTCCTAGAAAAGGAGAATCGCAGGCGGTGAGAAAAACCACGACTGTAACACCGCTCTTCCTTGGGATTGAAAATGACCAAAACGGGACAGGTATTCCTCGATTTACGGCCACAATGGAGCTCGAAATTTCTGTTGTTAACTGAGACAAATTTTTTTAGTGAATTTTGCCCCGTTTTAGGACCTTTCTTCCCACATTTTTAAGTGAATAGCGGCAGCTGATAAGTTAGTAACAAGGGTTTTGCTTGTCAGAAGGTTGCAAAAGGGGGATCAGGTGACCCCAGGATACTGCGACTGTCATAAATACGAGTCATTTGCCAAGCATCCAAATTTTGATTCCCGTGGAGAGGCTGCAACACATGTTGTAAGTGTGGAAAAACGGTCGTAAGTCACTTTTTTAAAATGCCTTTGTAACTTTGAATGGTCACTAAACGAACTGTTATAAGTCTAGCAGTTTTGACGGAAATGTCCCCAAAACGAACACAGTTTTTGCAAAATTTCCTGTTTTGTTACTTTGGCGTCCCGAAGTCAAGAACGCTTCATAAACTTGGACAACCGGCTGCTACGACAAACAAGCTCCCCGCCAGCCCAGCATTCCTGGTTTTAATTTGGCTGTCAACTATTGCTGCTCTTCCAATTTCTCTTCCTGCCATCCTGGTTTTGCAACTGCTAAATGCCGGGGAGGAATATTTATATATGAGCCGCATCGTTGCAAAACGTATTTAAACAACCGCAACAGGATTGTTGGTCGGGATGAAGCAGTGGTGCCCGACGGGGAATTCTGAAATGCTCCAAGGGAAGAGAACTGCTGTGCTTGGTAAGGGGGCTAACCACTAGGCAGTGTTCCCAGGGGTGAGGGGGATGAGACCACCCCCATTAAATAATTCCCAACATCATGTTTTAGGCTAGAGGGACACTGTTTTGATGCTGCCAGAACAGAGAGGCCCAACCTTGATGATTTGTGGACTTCAACTCCCAGAATTCCTCAGCCAGCATGTCTTCTTCTCCAGGGGTCTCCAAGCTTAACAACTTTATGATTTGTGGACTTCAACTCCCAGAATTCCTCAGCCAGCATGTCTTCTTCTCCAGGGTTCTCCAAGCTTGACAACTTTATGATTTGTGGACTTCAACTCCCAGAATTCCCCAGCCAGCATGTCCTCTTCTCCAGGGGTCTCCAACTTTGATTTCTTGACTGGCTGAGGAATTCTGGCTGCTGGAAGTCCACAAAGTCATCAAGTAGCCAAGTTTGGAGACCCCTGGTCTTCTCTTCCTTCTTTTCCACCATGATGGGCTTCTCAAAGGATTTGGGTCTTTCACTGATCGACTGATTATGTTCTATCAAGTTTTGACTCTCAGGAACCACCTGGATAGACCTTCTGCATGATGGTTTGTCCCATACCTGGTCCTTCAAGACTTCCTATGGTGGACTCATCACCACTTTAACGGATGAACTTAAGTTCTAGTGGCGATGGGGACACCATTGGAAAACCAGGTTGGACCCATCTCAACCTGGAGAAGGTCTATTTTTGTGGTTGCCAAACTGACTTGATAGAACAATCAACGCAAAGAGCAGCTCCTTTGAGAAGTCCATCATGGTGGGAAAGGTGGAAGGGAAGGCAAGAAGACAACCAGGAGCAAGGAGAATGGACTCAGCTACAGTGACGACGGGTCAACAACTGGAAGTCTTGAAGGACCAGGTTTGAGACAGATCATAGAGAAGGTCTATAGGTCAGGAGTGGAGAATGATGGCCCTTTTATGACTTGTGGACTTCAACTCCCAGAATTCCTGAGCCAGCCAGCATGGCTGGCTCAGGAATTCTGGGAGTTGAAGTCCACAAGTCATAAAAGGCCATCATTCCACACCTCTGATCTAGCTGGTCGCTAAGAGTTGACACCAACCGGATGACACGTAATGGAGAAGGCCCCATGTTGTTGTTGAGCTGACACCCATTTGATGACCCACAATCAGTCAATCAAACCTTGTCAATCTCTAGGACCGATGAATTTAAGGCAGGGAGAACATTTCTCCCAAGCATCTTACTTTCTTCGTGAAGGCTGTAATGACCATTGCGTGCGTCATCATGGAGTCCCCAAAAATCAGCCGCTCGTCTTTCTTCATATTCTTGACTGACACCCCGAACATCAGCTCATGATTGTATCTGCAAACAGCCAAAAAGGTTTATGAATGAGGGGAGAGGGGGACTGGGGCCACCGCGTGGACTTCAACTCCCACAATACCTTGCTGGTTGGGACTGAAGGGAGAAAGTCACCCCAAAAACCTGGGCTTTGTCCTCCCTCTTTATAAAAAAATGCATCTCCTGATAAGCTCAGGGTCTCACTGAGCCAATTTGGTCCGGTGGTTAAGACACCAGGCTAGAAACTAGGAGATGGTGAGTTCTAGTTCCGTCCTAGGCATGAAAGCCACCTGGGTGACTTTGGGCCAATGACCAGGAGACAGTGAGTTCTAGTCCTGTTTTAGGCATAAAAGTTATCTGGATGACTTTGGGCCAATCACCAGGAGACAGCGCCTAGTCCTGTCTTAGGCATGAAAGGCAGCTGGGTGACTTTGGGCCAACCACCAGGAGATGGTGAATTCTAGTCCTGCCTTAGGCATGAAAGCTGTCTCGGTGACTTTGGGCCAATCACCAGGAGACAGTGAGTCCTAGTCCTGCCTTAGGCATGATAGCCGGCTGGGTGACTTTGGACCAACCACCAGGAGACTGGGAATTCTAGTCCTGCCTTAGGCATGAAAGCTGGCTGGGTGACTTTGGGCCAATCACCAGGAGACGGTGAGTTCTAGTCCCGCCTTAGGCATGAAAGCCAGCTGGGTGACTTTGGGCCAATCCCTTTCTCTCAGCCCAGCCCACCTCACAGGGTTGTTGCTGGGAAAATAGGAGGAGGAAGATATATTAGGCATGTTCGCAGAACCAGGGACACAAATAAGTAAATAAATAAAGGTCTTTACCGATAAAGTTTGATATATAAAACAATACACAGGTAAGAAAATAAACCATGGCCTCCGTGTGCGGACAAGAACCCCCAAATTGAGGGAAACCGGGGCTCCTGCTTGGAAGCGTTCCCCAGAGGCAGCCCCCTCCCCTCCCCATGGAGGGTCCCTCTTGCACCAAACCTTACATCTTCAAATCGTTGATGCCCAGCTTGCTATTAAAACATTTTCCAACGTCGCAGCCAAACCACACGGCCTGCGGGAGAAGAGAGAACAGCCAACGGTCAGGACGAGGAAGAAAAGGCAGAAGAGAGTTGGGGGGGGGGTCAACCACGGGGGGGCAGCGTGCCCTAGAGGCTGACCTCTCCATCCTGAATGGACGCGGCCACCATCTTTTTCAAGAGCTCTACCGGCTGGTTGTTGTAAAGAGTCCTCCTGCCTCCCACCATGTTGCCCAGATACTCCACGGTGTAGAGCTGGTTGTATTTGTTCCGGGGTCGAGGATCGTTCACCAGACACACCTGTGAGATAGAGAGGAGAGTGGGGGAGAGATGTTAGGGCTAGCCAGGTGCAGGAAGGGGCAACCCCTCTAACTCGGCTGGGATTCCCTACCGGCCAGACGGGACGGTTTAAATCAGGGGTGTCCAACTTCGATTTGGCCGCTTTGAAGACTGGTGGACTTCAATTCCCAGAATTCCCCAGTCAGCATGGGACTAGAACTCCCTGTCTCCTGGTGATTGAGCCACAGTCACCCAGCTGGCTTTCATGCCTACGGTAGCACTAGAACTCCCTGCCTTCTGCTGATTGGTTCAAAGTCACCAAGCTGGCTTTCATGTTTAAGGCGGGACTAGAACTCACAAGCTCCTAGGGATTGGGTCAAAGGTACCCAGTCGGCTTTCATACCTAACGAGGGACTAGAACTCACTGTCTCCTGGTGATTGAGCCCAAGTCACCCAGCCGCCTTTCCTGCCTAAGGCACAAACTAGAATTCACTGTCTCCTAGCGATTGGTCCAAAGTCACCCAGCCTTCTTTCCTGCCTAAGGCAGGACTAGAACTCACCATCTCCTGGTGATTGGGCCAAAGTCACCCAACTGGCCTTCATGTCTAAGGTGGGACTAGAACTCACAAGCTCCTAGTGATCGGATCAAAGGCCTCCAGACAGCTTTCATGATGAAAGAGGGACTAGAACTCCCCATCTGCTGGTTTCTAACCCAGCACCTTAAGGTGGGGTTTACGGAAACCATGAAATAAGTGAACAGACCATGGGGTCAAATTTCTCGTGGGATTCCCGTATGCCAGGAGAAAGGAGAATGTCAATCAAAACGCCCTTCCTGTTTGAATCCAAAAAGGGAGTTCTAGTTTCAGCACGGAAAGAATGCCGAATATATTGGGGAGGGATGCCACACTGGGGGACACAGCTGGGCTGGACTGGACTTGAGAAAAGGGATTTCAGGTGAGGAATGTGCCCAGATCCCCCCCCCCCAAAAAAGAGAGATTCCAGGATCAGGGAAACGATCACTTCATGCTGGTTTGCATCGCGAGATCTTCCTACCTTGCTCTCCATATCAAACAACGGCTTGACGTGGTCTTGGTAGAACTTCGCGGGGCTGATGGGCCCGATCTTGTGATAGTTCTTCTCCTTGTCGTAATATTCCCAGCAGAAGGTGGCGGGAGGGTTCCCCAGGCAGATGCTGACGACCCGGAACACCTGGAAGAGGACGGGAGAATGTGGTTGTGGAAACCCAGCCACCCCCTGAACGGAGGCGTGGATAGCTGCGCGAGTTTGAAGCGGTGGGTTGCAAGTGGAGGTTGTAAGCGGAGGTTGTAAGCGGTGGTTTGTAAGCAGAGGTTGTAAGCGGTGGGTTGTAAGCGGAGGTTGTAAGCAGTGAGTTGTAAGCGGAGGTTGTAAGCAGTGGTTTGTAAGCAGAGGTTGTAAGCAGTGAGTTGTAAGCGGAGGTTGTAAGTGGTGGGTTGTAAGCGGAGATTGTAAGCGGTGAGTTGTAAGCGGAGGTTGTAAACAGTGGTTTATAAGCAGAGGTTGTAAGCAGTGAGTTGTAAGTGGAGGTTGTAAGTGGTGGGTTGTAAGCGGAGGTTGTAAGCAGTGAGTTGTAAGCGGAGGTTGTAAGCAGTGGTTTGTAAGCAGAGGTTGTAAGCAGTGAGTTGTAAGTGGAGGTTGTAAGCGGTGGGTTGTAAGCGGAGGTTGTAAGCAGTGAGTTGTAAGCGGAGGTTGTAAGCAGTGGTTTGTAAGCGGAGGTTGTAAGCAGTGAGTTGTAAGCGGAGGTTGTAAGTGGTGGTTTGTAAGCGGAGGTTGTAAGCGGTGGGTTGTAAGTGGAGGTTGTAAGTGGAGGTTGTAAGGGTGGGTTGTAAGCAGAGGGCAAAGGAAAGCATGATGGTGCCACAATGGGATTTGCTCCCCCAGTCACCAAGGAAGGAACCTCAAGCTGGAAGAACTGCCAGAGGTTATCTAAAGGGGGCCACAACGATGGAAGGAAAGCCCCTCCTCATTTTAATGCCTGGGTAAGGCCACGCGTGGAATATTGCATCCAGTTTTGGTCGGCACAATGTTAAAAAAGATGTTGAGACTCTGGAAGGAGTGCAGAGAAGAGCAACCAAGAGGATTAGGGGATTGGAGGCTAAAACATAGGATGAACAGTTGCAAGAACTGGGCATGTCTAGTTTAATGCAAAGAAGGACTAGGGGGGACATGAGAGCAGTCTTCCAGTATTTGAGGGGCTGCCCCAAAGAGGGGGGAGTCAAGCTATTCTCCAAAGCACCTGAAGGCAGGACAAGAAGCAATGGGTGGAAACCAATCAAGGAGAGAAGCAACCTGGAATTAAGGAGAAACTTCCTAGCAGTGAGGACAATTAACCAACGGAACTCCTTGCCACCAGAAGTTGTGGGTGCTCTATTACTGGAGGTTTTTAAGGAGAGATTGGACAAATATCTGCCTGAAATGGTCTAGGATTTCCTGCCTGAATAGGAGGTTGGACTAGAAGACCTCCAAGGTCCCTTCCAAATCTGTTGTCCTGGTAATGAGAGAGATGGGGCTTAGGTCACATCTGCCATCTTGACTTTGCCAAGCCCTGCATGGAAACCGCTCACAAGAAAATCAACCACTTGGCCTAATATCTTCCCTTTTTTAAATATGTAAATTTTAATCTGTTTTTAAATTATTGGGGTGTTTTAATCTGTCTGGGCCAAAATGATTTAATTTGATTTTATCTGGTTTTTAAATTTTTTGTATCTATGTATTTTATTGTTTGGCTATTCACCGCCCTGAGTCCTTCGGGAGTAGGGCGGTATTTATTTTATTTTTTATTTTATTAGATTTCTATACCGCCCTTCTCCCGAAGGACTCAGGGCCCTGCACAGCCAAAAGATAAAACACAGAGATACAAAATTTAAAATAGATTAAAACAGATTAAACAATTTGGCTAAATTTTAAAAATATCCCATAATTAAACAAATTAAAATTAGTGTTTAAAATTTGAATTTAAAAATTTTAAAAGGGAGAAGATTTAGGCCAGGCCAGCTTGATGAAATAAAAACGTTTTCATATACAAATCAAATAAACTAACTAACTAACTAACCACTTGGCCCCCAACTGAACCCCTGTGGTCAGTCTTTGCTTAAGCAGGGGGCTGGACTAGAAGACCTCCAAGGTCCCTTCCAACCTTATTGCAGGTAGTCTTCGACTTACAAGCACAACGGAGACCAACATTTCTGTTGCTAAGGGAAACGTCTGTTGAGTGAATTTCACCCCATTTTATGACCAATCTTGCCATGATTGTTAAGTGAATCACCACAGTTGATAAATTAGTAATCCGGTCGTTAAGTGAGTCTGTTTTTTCCATTGAGTTTGCTTGTCAGAAGGTCGCAAAAGGGAATCGCTTGAACCCAGAACACTGAGACTGTCATAAATCAGAGTCGGTTGTCAAGCGTCTGAATTTTGATCATGTGACCCGGGGGGACGGTCATTAAGTGTGAAAAATGGTCCTAAGTCACTTTTTTCACTGCTGTTGTAACTTCAAACGGTCACTAAATGAAATCAAGGGCTACTTATAGCTGGTAGCTTAACACTTTTTAACCATTTCAGATGCTGCTACTTATTTTTATATATATATATATATATATATATATATATATATATATATATATTGTTGTTAAAGTGAATCTGGCTTTGCGAGGAGGAGGAGAATGACCGTGAGGTCCTTGGTGCTAATTTATAGGTAAATATCAATCAGAATAGAATTGGAAGGGGCCTTAGAGGTCCTCTAGTCCAACCCCCTGCTCAAGCAGGAGAGACCCTGTACTATTTCAGACAGGTGCCTGTCCAATCTCTTTCTTTTCTGCTCTCTGAGCTTTGTTGTTTTCTTGATTTAAATGGTCACTAAACGAACTGTTGTAAGTTGAGGACTACTTGTATTTACGATGGTTGCACTCTCCTGGGGTTAGGTCATCGCATTTGTGACCTTCCCCCAAAAAACTAGTCAACGGGGAAGCTGGACTCACTTAACGACTGCATGATTCAGCTGCAGTGATTTACTTAACCACCCTGGTGAAAAAGGTCGTAAAATGGGACACAATGGACTTAACAACCACCTTGTTTAGCAATGGGAATTCTACGTTCTGGTCGTAGGTTGAGGACTAGCGGCATGCTATGTGCTCAGCAGCAGAGCAGATGGCTTATACATTGTCCGCTACTGCCCTCTAGTGTCCAAAAGTTTCGGAACTGTTGGAACTTCGAACAAATGATTGTTAAGTGGAGGACTGCAGGAAGCGCTCCACCGCTCAAATAGCACCTTAGATTGAACTGAAAAGGGAAACAACAGGAGAAGGGGAAGGAGTAGAGAGAGAGGAAGGGAGAAGAGAGGAGAAGAGAAAGAAGAAAGGGAAAAGGAGAGGAAGAGGAAGAAAAGAGAGGGGAAAGAGGAGTAGAAGAGAACGTTAGAAGGGGGGGAAGAAGAGAGGAGTGGGGGAAGAGAAGGGGAAGTAGAAAAGAGAAGGAGAGAAAGAACGAAGAAAGTGGGAGGAGAAAGAGGAAGGAAGAGAAGGGGAGGAGAAGAAGAAAGGGAAAGGAGAGGAAGAAAAGGGAGGGGAAAGAGGAGTAGAGGAGAAGGTTAGAAGTGGGGAAGAAGGGAGGAGTGGGGGAAGAGAAGGGGAAGTAGGAAAGAGAAGGAGAGAAAGAACAAAGGAAGTAGGAGAAGAGAGAGGAAGGAAAAGAAGGGGAGGAGAAGAAAGGGAAAAGGAGAGGAAGAAAAGGGAGGGGAAAGAGGACTAGAGGAGAAGGTTAGAAGGGGGGAAGAAGAGAGGAGTGGGGGAAGAGAAGGGGAAGTAGGAAAGAGAAGGAGAGAAAGAACGAAGGAAGTAGGAGAAGGAAAAGAAGGGGAGGAGAAGAAGAAAGGGAAAAGGAGAGGAAGAAAAGGGAGGGGAAAGAGGAGCAGAGGAGAAGGTTAGAAGGGGGGAAGAAGAGAGGAGTGGGGGAAGAGAAGGGGAAGTGGGAAAGAGAAGGAGAGAAAGAATGAAGGAAGTAGAAGAGAGAGGAAGGAAAAGAAGGGGAGGAGAAGAAGAATGGGAAAAGGAGAGGAAGAAAAGGGAGGGGAAAGAGGAGCAGAGGAGAAGGTTAGAAAGGGGAAGAAGAGAGGAGTGGGGGAAGAGAAGGAGAAGTAAGAAAGAGAAGGAGAGGAAGAACGAAGAAAGTAGGAGGAGAAAGAGGAAGGAAGAGAAGGGGAGAAGAAGAATGGGAAAAGGAGAGGAAGAAAAGAGAGGGGAAAGAAGAGAAGAGAAAGTTAGAAGGGGGGAAGAAGGAAGGAGTGGGGGAAGGGAAGGGGAAGTAGGAAAGAGAAGGAGAGGAAGAAAGAAGAAAGGAGAAGGAGAAAGAGGAAGGAAGAGAAGAGGAGGAGAAGGCCTGGAGGTGGCTGATGAGGAAGAGGAGGAACAGCTGGGTCCAGTGCCTGATAGAAGGCAGAGGAGAGGAGAGCACTGGAAATCTATGAGCCGGTCCTCGGGACAGAAAAGCCACCGCTGCTAGTAAAACCCTATCCTAGCTCTGGGGATAAAACGCAGGGGGCGGAGATGAATAGATGGGACAGACAACTATTCATCTCCCCTGCCGGACAAACTTGTTAGCTTGCGGTGAGAGAGAAACTTTTTGCCGGGGCTGCCGGCGCTCCTAATCAAGGAATCTTTTGAGTTCACTTCAGAGGGTTTCCCGTGTTTGGGGAGCTGGGTCAGAACCCCAGGGGTTTCGTGATAAGATCAGATGCTTTGGAGGCATGGCTGCAAATCTGGAATATATTCCTCCTTCGGAAGCAACCCCCAAATACCAGGACGGGGGTCCCTTCCCTAACCCCCCCCCCCTACCTCCTCAATCATGGTGTCGATTGCTGCCGAAAGCTCCTCTTTGCTGCATCCGGTCTCGACCATGTTTCGTAGTCGGAGACAATATTCCCGCATCTGTTGGAAAGAAGAAATGCATGTTAGTGTATCTTCCAAATCCTATAGTACCATTTCAGACAAGTGGCTGTCCAATCTCTTCTTGAAAGCCTCCAGTGAAGGAGCGGCCACAACTTCTAGTGGCAAGCAGTTCCACTGGCTAACTGTCCTCCCTGTCAGGAGGTTTCTCCTTCATTCCAGGTTGCTTCTCTTCCTTGGTGAGTTTCCATCCGTTGTTTCTTGCCCTGCCTTCTGGGGCTTTGGGAAATAGCTTGCTTAACGACGGACTGTTTAACCTTGGTGTCCAGTTTTAATGTTTGCGCTTTTAATAGCTTTGTGATATATTGATTGTTATTTTAGCTGCTGGTTGGGAACATCCAGAGTTTGATATAAGATGGGCAGCTATGTAATATAAATAAATGCTTTAAGGACAGGTAGTCCTTGGCTTACAAGAGGTCATTTAGTGACCGTTCAAAGTTACGACGTCGCTGAAAGAAGAGACTTCTGACCGTTTTTCTCTTGTGACTGATGCAGGAACCCTGTGGTCACGTGTTCGAAATTTGGATGCTTGGCAAGCGACTCACATTTATGACCGTCGCAGTGTCCTGGGGTCAAACAATCTATTTATTTATTTATTGTTTATTGGTTCGATTTATATGCCGCCCTTCTCCGGAGACTCAGGGCGGCTTACAATGTGTTAAGCAATAGCCTTCATACTTTTGTATATTTATACGAAGTCAGCTTATTGCCCCCACAAACTGGGTCCTCATTTCACCTACCTTAGAAAGGATGGAAGGCTGAGTCAACCTTGAGCCTTGGAGAGATTTGAACTCTCAGTAATTGCAGGCAGCTGGTGTTACTTTAACAGTGCTTTAGTCTGCTGCACCACCAAGGCTCCTTGTGCGACCCTTCTGACGAACGAAATCAACGGGGAGGCCAGATTCACTTAAGAACCGTGTCACAAAACTTCACAACTGCAGCATTTCGCTTAGCAACAGTGGGAAGGAAGGTCGTAAAATGGGGCCAGGCTCACTCAACAACAGTGTGACTAACTCAACCAGCGCAATTAACAAAAGTGGCAAGAAAAGTCATAAAACGAGGCAAAACCCACTTAACAAATGTCTTTAGCAACCTAGCACTATTAGCAACATAAATTTTGGGCTCAATGGTGGCCGTAACCCGAGGACTACCTCTAGTCCACAACTTGCAAGAGCTGATTTAGCGACCGTTCAAAGTTACAACTGCACCAGAAGAAGGGATTTATGACCGTTTTCCCACTTAACGACGGTTGCATCATCCCCGAGGTGATCAAAATCCAGACGCTTGGCAACTGACTCATAGTTATGACACCTGCAGTGTCCCTGGGGGGTCACGTGATCCCCTTTTGCGACCTTCCAACAAACAAAGACAATGGGCGGGGGGAAAGCCGGATTCATTTAACGACCGTGTTAGCAGGCTTAACAACTGCAGTGATTCACTTAGCAACCGTGGCAAGAAAAGTCGTAAGATGGGGCAAAACTCACTTCTTAACAAATCTCTTTAGCAACGGAGCATTATTAGCAAGATAAATTTTGGGCTCCATTGTGGTCGTAAATTGAGGACGGCCTGTAATAGATTAATGTATATGCCTTAATGATTTATTGACGTTGTTTTAACTGCTGGTTGGGAGCACTCAGGGTTTAATATACGATGGGCGGCTGAATAAATGCTTTAAATAAACTAAGCTAAGTCACCACCTAAATTGTTTAGGGGAGAAACCGCCTGGTGCAGAGGTCAGACAAGGAGGAAGAGGGAAGGAGCCCCAGAAATTAAAAGCGGGAGATCAAAGGCAAGGAAATCTAATTAAAACTCGTTTGCATATAAAGTAGAGACTAGCTGACGAATCCTTCCGCCAAATTCTTGGTACATCATCCTGGCTTCCACCACGTCCTCTGGGTCTTCTAAAGGGGCCTCGTCCCTCCGTCCAGATTCATTTAACAACCATATTTAAGAACGGCTGCAGTGATTCACTTAGCAACCGTGGCAAGAAAGGTCGTAACACGGGGCCAAACTCACTGAACAGCTATCCCACAGCAACAAAAAAAAATTGGGCCTCGGTTTTGTTGTAAGTCGAGGATTACCTGCAATGAAGTTTAGCGGCCAAAGTTACAACGGAGCTAAAAAAAATAAAAACCTACGGTCCTCCTACTTACGGCCATCGCTGCTTTAGAGGGGTGTTTGCGACGGTTGTAAGTACGAGGACCAGAAGTGTCTGGGGGTTTTTTTGTTTTTTTTTAGTTCCATTGTAACTTTGCTTAGTGGCCAAAGTGACAACAGAACTTTTAAAAAAAAAAATCCTTCAGGTCCCCATAACACCCATCGCACCATCCCCACAATCACCTGAACAGCCAAATTTCAGGCGCCTGGCAAGTTTTTAACGAAGGTTACAGCATCCCAAAGTCACACGACCTTCCCAGCTGGCTTCCGGCAAGCAAAAGAGTCCATGGAGGAGGCCAGGCTTGCTTAACGACAACGTGATTCGCTTAACAACCGGTTTGGGGGGGGGAGGATATTCTAGGAGTTGAAATCCGTGCACTTTAAGAGTTGCCTGAGGTTGGGAAACACCGCATTAGAGGGGTGTTTGCGACGGTTGTAAGTACGAGGACTGTAAGTGTTGTTAATTCTATTTGTAACTTTGGCCCTAAGCAAAGTTACAATGGAACTAAAAAAAAAAAAAAAAAAAAAAACCCCAGACACTTCTGGTCCTCATACTTACAACCGTCGCAAACACCCCTCTAAAGCAGCGATGGACGTAAGTAGGAGGACCGTAGGTTTTTATTTTTTTTAGCTCCGTTGTAACTTTGGCCGCTAAGCTTCATTGCAGGTAATCCTCGACTTACAACAAAACCGAGGCCCAATTTTTTTTTGTTGCTGTGGGATAGCTGTTCAGTGAGTTTGGCCCCGTGTTACGACCTTTCTTGCCATGGTTGCTAAGTGAATCACTGCAGCCGTTCTTAAATATGGTTGTTAAATGAATCTGGACGGAGGGACGAGGCCCCTTTAGAAGACCCAGAGGACGTGGTGGAAGCCAGGACGATGTACCAAGAATTTGGCGGAAGGATTCGTCAGCTAGTCTCTACTTTATATGCAAACGAGTTTTAATTAGATTTCCTTGCTTTTGATCTCCCCCGCTTTTAATTTCTGGGGCTCCTTCCCTCTTCCTCCTTGTCTGACCTCTGCACCAGGCGGTTTCTCCCCTAAACAATTTAGGTGGTGACTTAACTTAGTTTATTTAAAACATTTATTCAGCCGCCCATCATATATTAAACCCTGAGTGCTCCCAACCAGCAGTTAAAACAACGTCAATAAATCATTAAGGCATAGATTAATCTATTACGAGGCCATCCGGAACTTACGACCACAATGGAGCCCAAAATTTATCTTGCTAATAATGCTCCGTTGCTAAAGAGATTTGTTAAGAAGTGAGTTTTGCCCCATCTTACGACTTTTCTTGCCACAGTTGCTAAGTGAATCACTGCAGTTGTTAAGCCTGCTAACACGGTCGTTAAATGAATCTGGCTCCTCCCCCAATTGACTGTTTGTTGGAAGAACTCAAAAGGGGGATCACTTGACCCCAGGGACGTCGTAAATGTGAGTCACTTGGTAAGCGTATGGATTTTGATTAAGTGACTACGGGGATGATGCAACAGTCGTTAAATGGGAAACGGTCATAAGTCCCTTTTTCTAGTGCTGTTGTAACTTTGAACTGTCACTAAATGAACTCCTGCAAGTTGTGGACTAGAGGTAGTCTTTGGGTTACGGCCACAACTGAGCCCAAAATTTATGTGGCGGAGTGCTTTCTATGCTCCAGGTAGTCCTTGTCTTACGACCACAACTTCAACCCAAGTTTCTGACCCAGGTTTCCGTTGTTAAATGAGATGGTTGTTCAGATTGAGCTCTGCCCTGTTTTACGACCTTGCTTGCCACGGTTGTTAAGTGAATACTCTGCGGTTGTTAAATCAGTAACAAGGGGTGGTTAAGGGAATCTGGCTTTCCCCGCTGAGTTTGCTGGTCAGGAGGTCGCAAAAGGGAATGACGTGGCCTCGGGACATTGCAACCGTCGTAAATCTGAGTCAGCAGTGGATCAAACTCAGCTCGTCTTTCTAGGAAGCTTCTGAGCCAGAGATTTCCCAATGGTCAATCCTTCCTCCTATGTCCAAGTCCCACTTACCTTATTGTTCAGAATGTCATTCATCCGTCTGGAGGTTTCCGACGTGCTGGATTCAGGGAAAACTTTCTTGGGAACGACGCCATACTTTTCTATTTTTAAGACAAAAAAAAAACCCACACGCCCCACAATTCAAGGCAAGTTATCACACCAGCCGCCTGTCAGATCAAAGGAAGTCTGAATAAAGGAGAATATTTGTAGCTCAGGATTGAATTGAGGGGGTGCTCAATTGGTGGTTTTCAGACGTTTCATGGCCCAACTAGGGAACTGTATCAGTGCTAGAAGGAAGGGTTTGCAGAGAGGAGGAGGAAGGGGAAGAGGAAATGATTGTGGGGTCCTTGGTGCTCTCTGAGCTTGGTGGTTTTCAGACGTTTCATGACCCAACTAGGGAACAGCATCAATGCTGGGAGGAAGGGAGGGAGAGGAGAAGGAAGGAAGGAAGGAAGGAAGGAAGGAAGGAAGGAAAGTAGGAAGGAAAGAAGGAACCTAGACCATTTCAGATAGGTGGCTGTTCAGTCTCTTCTTAAAAACCTCCAGTGGGAAGGAAGGAAGGAAGGAAGGAAGGAAAGAAGGAAGTAAAGAAGGAAGGAAGGAAGGAAGGAAGGAAGGAAGAGGAGGAGGGTGACTGTGGAGTCCTTGGTGCTCTCTGAGGTTGGTGGTTTTCAGACATTTCATGACCCAACTAGGGAACAGCATCAGTGCTAGAACACGGGGAGGGCTGCACTCTACTTGTTGCAACTTGCCCTATCAGTGTTTGTGATGGCAAGCAGAGTCACTGCATAAAACCAGATTCGCTTAACCACCATGTTGCTAACTTAACCAATCCATCGGCCCGATTCACTTAACAACCGTGGCGAGAAAGGTCGCAAAACGGGGCAAACCTCTCTTGCTTAGGGGAAGAGGAACTAGGGAGCATCATCGGTGCTAGAAGGGAGAAGGCTCCATTGTGGTCGTAAGTCGAGGAGACCTGGCTTGTCTTACCAATGATGTTCACCAGCATGTCCCACTGGCCGCCATCGTTGCAAGGGTTGGTGAGCAGGAATTGCACCAGCCGCCCGTCGACGGGCTCCTGCGCGGTCTCGATGAAGGCGTGGAGGAAGTAGTAGCAGCGTTCGATCTGGGGGGTGCAGGCAGAAGAGAAGGGCGTCAGAAACCCCGGCCCTGGCTCAGCTGCTTCGCCCCAAAACACGTCTGGGTGCCTGGCTTGTTTCCCCCGAATCCTTCTGCCGGCACCTGCCCAACCATCACCGGGCCCTTCCTTTGTTCCCAGATGTTTAGCCCGTATCTGCCGTTTTTATCCTACCCTCCCGAGGGCAAGCCGGTAGAATACAACCTGAGAGCAAACCCCCTTCCCTTCTAAGCAATGATGACGTTACCTAGTTGGGTCATGAAACGTCTGCAAGGAAACCAGCAAAGTTCCGAAGAGGATCCCTCTCTAAAGTGTAGAAGGGAGGAGGGTTTATAGGAGGGAGGGGGAGGAGGAGGAAGAGGAGGACTGTGGGGTCCTTGGGGCTCTTCTGAGCTTGCAGACTTTTCATGAGCCAACTAGGTAACATCATCAGTGCTAGAAGGGAAGAGGAAGAGGAGGAGGAGAAGGAAGAGGAAGAGGAAGAGGAGGAAGAAGAGGAGGAGGAGGAGGAGGAACAGGAGAATGAAGAGGAAGGAGGAGGAGGAAGAGGAGGAGGAGAAGGAAGAGGAAGAGGAAGAGGAAGAGGAAGAAGGAGGAGGAGAAGGAGGAGGAGGAGGAAGAGGAGGAAGAGGAAGGAGGAGAAGGAAGAGGAAGAAGGAGGAGGAAAAGGAGAAGGAGGAGAAGAGGAGGAGGAGGAGAAGGAAGAGGAAGAAGAAGGAGGAGGAGGAGGAGGAGAAGGAAGAGGAAGAGGAAGAGGAAGGAGGAGGAAGAGGAGGAAGAGGAAGGAAGAAGAAGAGGAGGAGGAGGAGGAAGAGGAAGAAGGAGGAGGAAGAGGAAGAAGGAGGAAGAAGAGGAGGAGGAGGAAGAGGAAGAAGGAGGAGGAGGAGGAGAAGGAGGAGGAGGAGGAGGAAGAGGAGGAGGAGGAGAAGGAAGAGGAAGAGGAAGGAGGAGGAGGAGGAGAAGGACTGTGGGGTTCTTAGTGCTCTGTTCTCTGTGAGCTGGGACATTTCCTTGCAGACGTTTCATGACCCAACTAGGTAACACCATCAGTGCTAGGAGCGAACTAGGAGTATTCTCACAGACATTTATTATTTATTTATTTATTTATTTTATTTATTGAATTTCTATACCGCCCTACTCCCGAAGGACTCAGGGCGGTGCACAGCCATGAAATAAAACACATAGATATACAAAATTTAAAATCGAATAAAATGAATTAAATAAATTTGGCTGAATTAATACCCAATTTAAAATACCCATATTTTAAAATCCATTAAAATTTAGAATTTACACTTTAGAAAGGAGGAGATTTAGGCGAGGCCAGCTTGATGAAACAAAAGCGTCTTCAACTCGCGGCGGAAGGTGCGCAGATCCGGAATCCTCCGTATCTCTGGGGGGAGCTCATTCCAGATCGTCGGTGCCCCCACAGAGAAGGCTCTCCCCCTAGGGGCCGACAGCCGACATTGTTTGGCCGACGGCACCTGGAGGAGCCCCTCTCTGTGGGAGCGTACTGGTCGGTGGGAGGCTGTTGATGGTAGTAGGCGGTCCCGTAAGTAACCAGGTCCCAAGCCATGGAGCGCTTTAAAGGTGGTAACCAGAACCTTGAAGCGCACCCGGAAGACCACCGGGAGCCAGTGCAGCTCGCGCAGGAGAGGTGTTACATGGGAGCTCCATGTTGCTCCCATAACCACCCGCGCGGCCGCACTCTGCGCCAGTTGGAGCCTCCGGGTGCACCTCAAGGGGAGCCCCATGTAGAGAGCATTACAATAGTCCAGACGAGAGGTGACGAGGGCATGAGTGACTGTGCGTAACGAGTCCCGATCTAGAAAGGGACGCAACTGGCGAATCAGGCGAACCTGATGAAAAATCCTCCCGGTCACGGCCGTCAAGTGCTCTTCTAAAGACAGCCGTGAGTCCAGGAGGACGCCCAAGTTACGAGCCCTTTCCGTGGGGGCCAATGATTCGCCCCCAATAGCCAGCGATGGTGCCAGCTGACTATATCGGGACGTCGGAAACCACAGCCACTCGGTCTTGGATGGGTTGAGCCTAAGCCCGTTTCTCCCCATCCAGATCCGCACGGCCTCCAGGCACTGGGACATCACTTCAAGGGCATCGTTGGGGTGGTCCGGGGTGGAGATGTACAGCTGGGTGTCATCAGCGTACAGATGGTACTTCACCCCGAAACCACGGATGATCTCGCCCAGCGGCTTTACATAAATGTTGAACAGAAGGGGCGAGAGGACCGATCCCTGCGGCACCCCACATATAAGGGGCCTCGGGGTCGATCTCTGCCCCCCTGTCAACACAGACTGCGACCGGTCAGAGAGAAAGGAGGAGAACCACCGTAAAACGGTGCCTCCCACCCCCAACCCTTCCAGCCGGTGCAGCATGATACCATGGTCGATGGTATCAAAAGCCGCTGAGAGGTCTAACAGGACCAGGACAGAGGAACAACCCCTGTCCCGAGCCCTCCAGAGATCATCAACCAACGCGACCAATGCCGTTTCCGTGCTGTACCCAGGCCTGAAGCCCGACTGGAACGGATCTAGATACGACGCTTCATCCAGGTACTGGGGTAGCTGTCGCGCAACCACACTCTCAACAACCTTCGCAACGAAGCAAAGGTTGGAGACTGGACGATAATTAGCCAATACTGCCGGGTCCAGGGAAGGCTTCTTGAGGAGAGGCCTCACCACCGCCTCTTTCAAGGCGGCGGGAAAGACACCCTCACCCAACGAAGCATTTATAATCCCCTGGAGCCAGCCTCGCGTCACCTCCCGGGAAGCCAGCACTAACCAGGAGGGACACGGGTCCAACAAACATGTGGTCGCGTTCAATCTACCCAGAATCCTGTCCACGTCATCTGGGGTCACAGGATCAAACTCATCCCAGATAACAGTCTCAAGACCTGTCTCCGTCACCCTCGTTGGATCTATCCCGTCAGAGTCCAGACCTGCCCGAATCTGAGTGATTTTGTCATACAGATATTGAACAAAATCCTCGGCTCTCCCCTCCAAGGGGTCCTCCCGCGCTTCCTGGTGGAGCAGGGAGCGGGTCACCCTAAACAGGGTGGCCGGGCGATTATCTGATGACGCAATAAGAGCAGTAAAATGAGTACATTTTGCTGCTTTTATCGCCACTAGGTAACTCCTAATATAAGATCTTACCAGTGTTCGGTCAGATTCAGAAAGACTAGCCTTCCAACAGCTCTCTAGGCGTCTTTTCCGGCGCTTCATCTCCCTCAGCTCCTCGGTGAACCAAGGAGCCAGGCGAGATCGGCGCCGGGTCAGAGGCCGCAAAGGCACGACTCGATCCAGGGCTCCAGCAGCCGCCCTATCCCAGGCGGCCACTAGGTCCCCAGATGAGGCGTGAGCCAGAACCTCCGGGATTGGCCCAAGTTCCATCTGGAACCTATCAGGTTCCATCAGGCGCCTGGGGCGGTACCATCTTACCGGTTCCGCCTCCCTGCGGTGGGGTGCTGCGGTTCGAAGGTCAAGGCGAAGGAGCGAGTGATCTGACCATGACAAGGGCTCGATGACTATATCCCCTATCTCGAGATCACTCAACCACTGTCCAGAGACAAAAACCAAGTCCAGTGTGTTTCCCCCAGTGTGCGTAGGGCCATGAATTAGTTGGGTCAGGTCCATGGCCGTCATGGAAGCCATGAACTCCCATTTCATGGCCCACCTTCGTCGCCCCATCAGTGGATGGTGGGGGAGCACTAGAAAGGAGTCAAAAGCCAGAAACACCACCCAACATCATTATTTCGACATTTTGGGGTGTGCTTTTTTTTTTTTTTGCTGGCCTCGCTTTCCCTCTTAGCAATTTTCTCTTGTAATGGCTAATTGCAGGGTGTGGGTTGTTTTTATTTTGTTTTTCCCTCTTTGATTACACTCATCTTCCTATTTCAAGCCTTTTTCTGCCTGTCAGGTACGCCCGGAGCTCCAGGAAGGAACCGAGCGAGTCCGTAAATCCATCAGAGATCCGTCCGAGCAGCAGCTCCTTTCAAACCGTAATAAACAGTCCCCTTTTGAATCATCACCTTTTCCATTTTCGTTCCCTGAATTCATTCATTGCACAGCAGCTGCAGACACAATGCGAACAGCCACGGGGTCTCTCAATCTGTGCAATTTTTAAGAAGAGTGGACTTCAACTCCCAGAATTCCCCACCCCAGCATGGGGAATGGCTGGGGAATTCTGGGAATTGAAATCCACCCGTCTCGAAGTTGCTAAAAAATAGTTCTAAAATGTCCCACCTGCACCAAACACTCGGCTGGGGACCACAATTCCCAGCATTCGGAATAACAGAAGTTGGAAGGGACCTCAAGAGGTCTTGTAGTCCAACCCCATGCTCAAGCAGGAAACCTTATAAGCGTTCCCCAGCCTGCCCCAAAGGTGCTTTTTTTCAGGAGGCAACTGGACTTTTTTTTTTTTTCTTTTGAAGATGTTTCTCTTCTCATCCAAGAAGCTTCTTCGGCTCTGACCGGATGTTGGGGAAAGGAAGGATTGATACTCCTTGCAGACAAAGCTGGTCATTTGCATCCTTTTAGAGGGTCATTTAAGGACTAGGAGGTTTATCTGTGTCCTCAGGGTCAGCTGAGTAGTGCAAATGGTTCCAGCGTAGTCTGCAACTTTTTTCCTCCGGAAATCCGTTCCTACGGATTGGATTGCCAGAGGATTCAGGTGTGGGAATAGGAATGGATTTCCAGAGGAAGAAATTGGAACCATTTGCACCACTCAGGTGACCCTGAGGACACAGGTAAATCCCCAAGTGGGCTCAACAACCCTCTAAAACAGTGTTTCTCAACCTTGGAAGCTTGAAGATGGGTGGACTTCAACTCCCAGAATCCCCCAGCCAGCGCTGCTGGCTGGGGGATTCTGGGAGTTGAAGTCCACCCATCTTCAAGCTTCCAAGGTTGAGAAACACTGCTCTAAAAAGGATGCAAATGACCAGCTGTCTGCAAGGAGTATCAATCCTTCCCTTCGCCCACCATTCGGTCAGAGCCGAAGAAGCTTCTTGGATGAGAAGGGAAACGTCTTCAAAAGAAAAAAAAAACCCCCAGAAAATCCAGTTTGCCTCCTGAAAAAAAGCACCTTTGGGACGTGACCTGGAGGACGGAGAATCACCACAGACGTTCCCCAGCCTCCATATTCAGAGGGTGCCTGATGGAAACGGAAACGGGCCAACTCGCCGCGGCCAACTCAACTCCGTTTCATAATTTAAAACGAACTTTAAAAATGACTCGTTAACTTTTTGTCGTTCACGTCTCATTCTGCCCCTCCCTTTTTCGCATCCGTTCTTGAGCGGTTCGATTCCCACCGTCATCTCTTGGATGCAGGTAATCCTCAACTTACAACCGGCGCCAATAAAAGAGAGTGATTTACGGCCGCTTTTCACACTTAATGACCGTTGCGGCAGCTCCGTGGTCAGGCGGTCAAAATTTGGATGCTTGGCAACGGGCTCGTATTTATGACGGTCCCGGAGTGTTCTAACTTTTGGTCGCTGAGCGGATGGTTGTAAGGCGAGGACGGCCTGTACTCAAGGGTGGGTTGTGGTTCTGAGCAGCCGTACCTTGTCCCAAAAGAAGAGGTAGGACTGGCTGAACTCAAACTCCTCGATGTTCAGCTTCTTCATGAGTGGCAGGCGCATCACATTCAGGCAGGAAAAGATCCAGCAGCGTCCTGAAGACCAGAAGGGGGAAAAAGAGAGATGGACAAGGAAGGAGGTTTAATGTGCCAGGAAAAACAGAGGAAGTCCTAAAGGTGATTTTAGGCAATTCGACTTTTCCCTTTGAATACGTTTCGCTTCTCATTCAAGAGGCTTCTTCAGTTCTTCAGAGAGAGGGAGGGGGGGGAAGGAAGGAAGGAAGGAAGGAAGGAAGGAAGGAAGGAAGGAAGGAAGGACAAAGACAAAGAAAATGAAAGAAAGAGAAAGAAAGAAAGAAAAAGAAAGAGAATGAAAGAAAAAGAGAAAGACAGACAGAAGGAAAATGAAAGAAAGAGAAGGAAAGTGAAAGAGAAAGAAAAGAGAGAAAGAAAAAGAAAGAAGGAAGAAGGAAGGAAAGAAAGAAAAAGACAGAAAGACAGACAAAGAAAGAGAAAGAAAAAAAGGGAAAGAGGGAGGAAGGGAAAGAGAGAGAGAGAGAAAGAAAGAAAAAGAAAGAAAAAGAAAGTCAGAGAAAGAAGAAAGAGGGAAAGAGAGAGAAAGAAAGAAAGAAAAAGAAAAAAAAGAGGGGAAAAGAGGGAGGAAGGGAAAGAGGGAGAGAGAGAAAGAAAGAAAGAAAAAGGAAGAAAAAGAAAGTCAGAGAAAGAAGAAAGAGAGGGAAAGAGAGAGAAAGAAAGAGAAAGAAAGAAAGAAAAAGAAAGAAAGGAAAAGACAGAAAGACAGACCGAAAGAAAGAGAAAGAAAAAAAAGGGAAAGAGGGAGGAAGGGAAAGAGAGAGAGAGAAAGAAAGAAAGAAAAAGAAAGTCAGAGAAAGAAGAAAGAGAGGGAAAGAGAGGGAAAGAGAGAAAGAAAGAAAAAGAAAGAAAGAAAGAAAGAGAAAGAAAAAAAAGAGGGGAAGAGAGGGAGGAAGGGAAAGAGGGAGAGAGAGAAAGAAAGAAAGAAAAAGGAAGAAAAAGAAAGTCAGAAAGAAGAAAGAGAGGGAAAGAGAGAGAAAGAAAGAAAAAGAAAGAAAGAAAGAAAGAGAAAGAAAAAAAGGAGGGAAAGAGAGGGAGGAAGGGAAAGAGAGAGAAAGAAAGAAAGAAAGAAAGAAAGACAGAGAGAAAGAAAAAGAAGAAAAAGAGGGAGAGAGAGAGAGAGAGAGAGAGAGAGAGAAAGAAAGAGTTTAGAGTTTATTGGATTTCTATACCGCCCTTCTCCCGGGGGACTCAGGGTGGTGTACAGCCACATTAAAACACATGAATTTATAAAATTTAAAACCAATTAAAACAAATATATACAATTTGGCCCTCAATTAAAACACACATAGAAAGAAAGAAAGGAAGGAAGGAAGAAAGAAAGAAAGAAAGGAAGGAAGGAAAGAAGGAAGGAAGGAAGGAAGGAAGGAAGGAAGAAAGAAAGAAAGAAAGAAAGAAAGAAAGAAAGAAAGAAAGAAAGAAAGAAAGAAAATGACAGGAAGGATGGATGGATGGGTTTTGGAAAAAGCCCCTTTGGGACAACCTGGAGGAGGGAGACTCTCCACAGACCAAAGAGAGAAAACCCACCCGAAGCACCCAGCTCTTCCCCCCCCCCCCCCAGGCCCATTGCCCCAAATGAAATTTTCAGCCTCTCCTCTCCCAAAGTTTTCCAACTGACAAACATCCCATCTTAGTAGCCAAGTGGGAACCCTCAGGGAGAGCCTTAACCACCGTGTTACTGATTTAACAACCGCAGCGACTCACTTAACAACTGTGGCAAGCTAAGTCGTAAAATAGGGCAAAAAACCCCACTGTCTCATTTAGCAGCAGAAACTTGTGCCACAAACTTGGGCTCAGTTACGGTCGTACGACAAGGGCTGCCACCTGGAGCATAGAAAACACTCAACAACGTAAATCTGGGGGCTCAGGTGTGGTCGTAACTCGAGGACTACCACAACTTAGTCCACAATTTACAGGAGTTCATTTAGTGACTGTTCAAAGTTACAACGGCACTGAAAAAAAAAAATACAATTTTTCAAACTTAACAACGGTGGGAACATTCCCGTGCCCACGTGATCAAAACTGCTAGCTGATTTGACAACCGATTCATATTTATGACGGTCGCAGTATCCCCGGGGGTGTGTGTGTGTCACATGATTCCCCTTTGATGACCTGACAAGCAAAAGTCAATGTGGGGGGGGGGGGAAGCCAGATTCACTTTACAACCGGGTTACTAACATAACGACGGCAGCGACTCACTTAACAATTGTGGCAAGAAAGGTCATAAAAGTGAGACAAAACTCACTTGTCTCGCTTAGCAACGGGAAATTTTGGGCTCGGTTTGCGGTCGTAAGTTGAGGACCTTCCGTAAGGGTTTTTTAAAAAAAAACTTTTAAAACTTGGCTGAGTTCCAGAGCCTGGGGCGCTGAATGCGTTGAGAGCCTGGTTTCTTAATAACTGTTAATTGTCTAATTATCTTGGCTGCTGCATAAATTCAGCTTGGATGTTTTTTTAATTTGTTTAAATGTATTTAATTGTTTTAATATACTTAGAACTTGTCGGCCGGCCAGAGTCGCTGGATTAAGATGGGTATAAAAACTGAATAAATAAAAATAACAAAATGTTTTGCCTGATGGTTACAATCTGGGGTGGGGGTGGAATGGGGGAGACCCAGCAGATGGGTGTAGCCCCCTCCTCTTTCAGGTAGAGCCGGGTCTGAGCAGGTTTACAAAAATATAATTGTTAAAAAAAGTTATAGCTAGTCCTCGATTTACAACATTTTGTTTAATGAACCTTCGAAGTTACGATGGCCCTGAAAAAAAATGACTTGTGACCGGTTTTTCCACACTTAATGACTCTCTCAGGTCACCTGATCAAAATTCAGGATGCTTGGCAACTGCTTCGTATTTATGACGGTCACAGTGTCCCAGGGTCATGCGAGCTTCCCCAAGTCAATGGGGGGAAGTCAGATTCACTTAACAACCGTGTGATTGGCTTAACTGCTGTGGCGGTTCAACTTAACGACTGGGTCAAAGAAAGGTGGGAAAACGGGGCAGAACTCGCTTTAATGACTGTCTCGCTTAGCAACTGAACCTTTCTCTGGCTCTATTCATCATCTTTTAATAACCCCATAATCTCTTGCAGGGTGGAGTCTGGGCAAATGAATGGAGCTGAGTGTTTACTGGCCGGATGCCCTTCCTGTCGCCAATGCGGAGTTTTGTTTAGCAAATATATTCCCATTGTGCCCAGAGAGAGAAATATCTGCCTCTACCTACGATCGAACTCACAGCCTCCTGGGTGGTGAGGCCAGAGCTCCACCTCTAGGCCAGTGCGCCACTCCTTTCTGTGGCTCGATTGCGGTCGCAAATCGAGGACTAGGCTGTAGCAGTGGGCAGCAGTTTACCTGAATTCTTCTGGTTGGAGACCGGCTTCCCTTCGGCCGGTACCGCGTGCTGGAAAACCTGCAGGGTGTTTTGGACAGTGTCTCGGTCAAGGCTTCCATCCAGGAGGTCCGTCGACGTAGCCACATTCTGGGCCAAGAGATAGCGAGGTTCCCCTTTCAAGGCTTTGAGGAACGCGCCAGATTTCTTCAAGCTTAAGCCTGTATAATTAAAAAGGAAAAAAAAAAAAAGAAGAACATAGCATAATAATGGAGTTTTGAAGGGACCTCAGAGGTCTTCTAGTCCAGCCCCCTGTTCAAGCAGAAGACACTAGATAATAGATAGAAAAGAATTTTTTATTGGCCAAGTGTGATTGGACACACAAGGTGCATACGCTCTCAGTGTACATAAGATACGTTCATCAAGAATCATAAGGTACAACACTTAATAAGTGGAAGTACCCACAACTTCTGGTGGCAAGCTGTTCCACTGGTTACTTGTCTTCACTGCTGGGAAGTTTCTCCTTAATATAATAATAATCAGAATAGAATGAGTTGGAAGGGACCTTGGAGGTCTTCTAGTCCAGCCCTCTGCTCAAGTGATCCTATACCATTTCAGACAACTGACTGTCCAGTTTCTTCTTTAAAAACCTCCAGTGATGAAGCACCCACAACTTCTGGTGGCCAGCTGTTCCACTGGTTAATTGTCCTCACTGTCAGGAAGTTTCTCCTCAATTCTAGGTTGCTTCTCTCCTTGATTAGTTTCCAACCATTGTTTCTTGTCCTGCCTTGAGGACAATACAATAATTGTATTTATACAATACAATAATTTGTATACTTTATATAATAATTTGACCCCCTCTTCTTTGGGGCAGCCCCTCAAATACTGGAATGCTGCTATTGTGCCACCCCCTAATTTTCTTTTCTTTAGACAAACTCAATTCTTCGTATGTTTTAGCCTCCAGCCCCCTACTCATCTTTGTTGCTCTTCTCTGCGCTTTTTCCAGAGTCTCAACATCTTTTTTGCATCATGGTGACCAAAACTGGATGCAGGATTCCAAGTGTGGCCCAACAGTGTTTTTTTTCAAGAGTCAACTGGATTTTCTGAGACTTTCCCCCCAAAAAAGTCCAGTTGCCTCTTGAAAAAGCACCTTTAATTTAATTAATTTTAATGAATTAAATTTATATGCCGCCCCTCTCCGAAGACTCAGGGCGGCAACCATGACTGGGATGACCGAGAATCTCCAGAGACCTATTCCAAATGCAGTCTTACTAAAGCTTTGTAAAGCTGTACTAGAACTTCTTGTGATTTTGATTTTAATCCCTCTATGAATGCAGATAATAGATAAAGATAAGTGAGTGCAAAGCCACGTTTTGGAGAAAAATATTCCCTGGTTTTGAGATTGCTGCTTCCAGAGGTGTGAATTCTCAAAGAGTTATCGTAACAAAGCCGGTTGAGAAATTTTAATTCCGTGACGGGCGAGGGTTTAACGTACAGCGGGAGGGCTAAAAATGTGGTTTTTTACGTGGCCCCACCTTCCAGCTGCCCACGTTTTAACTCTGCTTTCAGGGTTGGCTTCCGCTGCTCGTTGGATCGCCTTACGTGTCACACTCCCTTTTGTGCAGCTCTTAAAAAAGCAGGAAAACAAGGACAAAGGACAAATCCCAAATATTTATCCGCCTCTCCAACTTGCAGAGCTGTCCCCTTCTTACCAACGTGACGGATTTGAACTGTAAAAACGAAACCACCCCAAAAGTAGCACTGATGACATTACCTAGTTTGAATTGCGAAACTTCTGCAAGGAAACCACCAAGCTCAGAGGATCCCACAGTTCAACCCCGAGCAACGAATATTCTCTTTTATTGGAATATTGGAAAAAGACACCGCAAACCGTAAAATAGAGATAGAAAAAGCACGGGATATAGTTTTAAAAGCCACCCATCCAACTGAATACTCTGGAAATGAATTGCCAAAGTCAAGAGTCATAGCTAGCATATTCTTATTTTTCTCCCCGGATTTCTGGGAGGGGAGCGATGAGTCCAAAGAGGATAATAAAAGAAAGAATTTATAGAATTTAATACATTAGTTCTTTAATATGGTCTTATTCTTTTGGGGAACAATTTCACAGTCCCAGAAATTGAAGGAGGATCATGAAGATGTCGCATACATACCATCCATTGTAAATTTATGTACAGGTAGTCCTTGACTTATGGCCACAACGGAGCCCAAAATTTATGTTGTTGAGTGAGACATTGGTTAAGTGAGTTTTGCTCCATTTTTGGGACTTTTTCTTGCCACCGTTGTTAAGGGAATGACTGCACTTACATCAGCAACCCGGTCGTTAAATGAATCGCATTGACTCTGCTTGTCAAAAGGTTGCAAAAGGAGATCATGGGACACACACATACACACCCCGGGGACGCTTCGACCGTCGTAAATACGAGACAGTGGCCAAGTGTCTGAATTTTGATCCCACGACCACGGGGAGGCTGCCACGGTCAAAAATGCGGGAAATTGTCACTTTTTTCCAGTGCCGTTGCAAACTTTGGACACTAAACGAACGGTTGTAAGTCGAGGAGCGCCTGTATTGTAAATTTTATGTATTTTTTTCTTTCTTTCTGCAATCAGTATCAATATGAACCCCAATTTTGGGATGGCATCCGATTGTTCCATTGAGCCCCACCCTCCTCAAACTACCTCCATTTTGCTGCACCCCAAAACTGCGCCTGCCCAAAAAAAACCACCCCAAATTTAGGGGTTTCGTTTGCTTTTAAATTATTATTTTTTAAAAATCTTTTAATTTTTTTTTAAAAGGCATGGGGGGGGGGGAACTTCAACTCCCAGAATTCTTTGCTGGCTGGGGAATTCTGGGAGTTTAATTTCAACACCCCCCCTTTTAAAGCAGTCAGTTTGGGGGCGGTTCCATTGAGCCCCCCCCTCCATTTTGCTGCACCCCAAAACTGCGCCTGGGCAAAACAAACACCCCAAATTTAGGGTTTCGTTTGCTTTTAAATTGTTATTTTTTTAAATCTTTAAAAAAAATTTTTAAAAGGGGTGGTGGGGGGGGACTTCATCTCCCAGAATTCTTTGCTGGCTGGGGAATTCTGGGAGTTTAATTTCAAACACCCCCCCCACCTTTTAAAGCAGCCAGTTTGGGGGTGGGGAAAACAAGATTTAAATTGGGATGAAAAGTTAAATATGGAGCAGAAGGAAGATTTAGGCTCTGCTTTTATTTTTGGGGGTGGGTGGATCTATTTTTAGGCTTCATAGCCCCCCCCCCCGCCTCATTCGCAAGCGGGCTAGAGGCAGAAAGCACTCTGAACATGCTCAGAGGCACGCTCGTCATTCGCCCCCCCCCCCACCGCGGGATGAGCCCTCGCCAACGGGCCAACCGCCGTCCCCATAGCAACCCCGGCCTCGCCCCCCCTCCCTCCGCCGTCCCCATGGCAACGCACCTGGGACGCACATCGCGAGCCCTCCGGGCAGAACAGCCGCCGCCGCCTCGCCACCAACGAGCCGGGCGCCGGAAGCGGCGTTTATATAGCCTCGGAAGCAGGAAGTGGCCCCGCGACGGGGGGCGGCGGTGGTCAATCCTGGGCGCGCGCGGCGCGCTCCGGCTTCGCGAAGGAGGGAGGGAAGGGAAAGGAAAGGGCGGGGCTGCTCTTAAAGGGCCCGCGCACGATTTTCTTCAGGGCGTGGGGAGGAGGAGGAGGAGGAAAAGTTGGGGTGCTGCCAGCAAAAGCAACAGGGAGGGAGGGAGGGGATGGTGGGGAAGGGGCTCGCTCGGCCCAGGGGGGGACCTGCTTGGTGAATGTGGGCCAGGCCTTCTCAGACCATCCTACCTTGCAGGGTGGTTGGTGAGCAGATCTAAAAGGGGTTCCTAAGGATAAGATCTTTCATATCCATATCTGTCTGTGTTTGTCTGTCTACCTAGCTCTCTCTAGCTATCAATCAATCAATATCTATCTAGTCATTATCTATGTATCATCTTTCCATTATATATCTATCTATATCTATCCTATTCTATCTAATCTATCTATCTATCTGTCTATCTATCCATCTATCCATCTATCTATCTATCCTATTCTATCTATCCTATTCTATCTAATCTATCTATCATCTATCTCTATCTTCTATCATCTCTCTATCCTATCTATCCTATTCTATCTAATCAATCAATCTATCCTATTCTATCTATCCTATTCTATCTATCCTATTCTATCTAATCTATCTATCATCTATCTCTATCATCTATCTATCTCTATCTTCTATCATCTCTCTCTCATCTCTCTCTATCTTCTATCTATCTATCATCTATCTCTATCTATCTATCTTATTCTATCTATCCTATTCTATCTTATCTATCTATCCTATTCTATCTATTCTATTCTATCTATCCTATTCTATCTAATCTATCTATCTATCATCTATCTCTATCTTCTATCTATCATCTCTCTCTCATCTCTTTATCTTCTGTCTATTTATCTAACTATCATCTCTCTCTCTCTCTCTCCTATCTATCCTATTCTATCTAATCAATCAATCTATCAATCTATCCTATTCTATCTATCCTATTCTATCTTATCAATCTATCCTATTCTATCTATCCTATTCTATCTAATCTATCTATCATCTATCGCTATCTTCTATCATCTCTCTATCCTATCTATCCTATTCTATCTAATCAATCAATCTATCCTATTCTATCTATCCTATTCTATCTAATCTATCTATCATCTATCTCTATCTTCTATCATCTCTCTATCCTATCTATCCTATTCTATCTAATCAATCAATCTATCCTATTCTATCTATCCTATTCTATCTATCCTATTCTATCTAATCTATCTATCATCTATCTCTATCATCTATCTATCTCTATCTTCTATCATCTCTCTCTCATCTCTCTCTATCTTCTATCTATCTATCATCTATCTCTATCTATCTATCTTATTCTATCTATCCTATTCTATCTTATCTATCTATCCTATTCTATCTATTCTATTCTATCTATCCTATTCTATCTAATCTATCTATCTATCATCTATCTCTATCTTCTATCTATCATCTCTCTCTCTCATCTCTTTATCTTCTGTCTATTTATCTAACTATCATCTCTCTCTCTCTCTCTCCTATCTATCCTATTCTATCTAATCAATCTATCAATCTATCCTATTCTATCTATCCTATTCTATCTAATCAATCTATCTATCAATCTATCCTATTCTATCTATCCTATTCTATCTAATCTATCTATCTATCATCTATCTCTATCATCTATCTATCTCTATCTTCTATCTATCATCTCTCTCTCTCATCTCTCTCTATCTTCTATCTATTTATCTATCATCTATCTCTATCTATCTATCCTATTCTATCTATCCTAACTTATCTATCTATCCTATCCTATTCTATCTATTCTATTCTATCTATCATCTATCTCTATCTTCTATCTATCATCTCTCTCTCTCATCTCTCTCTTTCTTCTATCTATTTATCTATCATCTATCTCTATCTATCTATCCTATTCTATCTATCCTAACTTATCTATCTATCCTATTCTATCTATTCTATTCTATTCTATCTATCCTATTCTATCTATCATCTATCTCTATCTTCTATCTATCATCTCTCTCTCTCTCATCTCTCTATCTTCTGTCTATTTATCTAACTATCATCTCTCTCTCTCTCTCTCTATCCTATCTATCCTATTCTATCTAATCAATCAATCAATCTATCAATCTATCCTATTCTATCTAATCTATCTATCTATCATCTATCTCTATCATCTATCTATCTCTATCTTCTATCTATCATCTCTCTCTCATCTCTCTCTATCTTCTATCTATTTATCTATCATCTATCTCTATCTATCTATCTATCCTATCCTATTCTATCTATCCTATTCTATCTTATCTATCTATCCTATCCTATCTATTCTATTCTATCTATCCTATTCTATCTAATCTATCTATCTATCTGTATCTTCTATTTATCATCTCTCTCTCTCTCTCATCTCTCTATCTTCTGTCTATTTATCTAACTATCATCTCTCTCTCTCTCTCTCTCTCCTATCTATCCTATTCTATCTAATCTATCAATATATCAATATATCCTTTTCTATCTATCCTATTCTATCTAATCTATCTATCTATCATCTATCTCTATCATCTATCTATCTCTATCTTCTATCTATCATCTCTCTCTCATCTCTCTCTATCTTCTATCTATTTATCTATCATCTATCTCTATCTATCCTATTCTATCTTATCTATCTATCCTATTCTATCTATTCTATTCTATCTATCCTATCTAATCTATCTATCATCTCTCTATCTTCTATCTATCATCTCTCTCTCATCTCTCTCTATCTTCTATCTATTTATCTATCATCTATCTCTATCTATCCTATTCTATCTTATCTATCTATCCTATTCTATCTATTCTATTCTATCTATCCTATCTAATCTATCTATCATCTCTCTATCTTCTATCTATCATCTCTCTCTCTCTCATCTCTCTCTATCTTCTATCTATTTATCTATCATCTATCTCTATCTATCTTATTCTATCTTATCTATCTATCCTATTCTATCTATTCTATTCTATCTATCCTATTCTATCTAATCTATCTATCATCTATCTCTATCTTCTATCTATCATCTCTCTCTCTCTCATCTCTCTATCTTCTGTCTATTTATCTAACTATCATCTCTCTCTCTATCCTATCTATCCTATTCTATCTAATCAATCAATCTATCCTATTCTATCTATCCTATTCTATCTAATCTATCTATCATCTATCTTTATCATCTATCTCTATCATCTCTCTCTCATCTCTCTCTATCTTCTATTTATCTATCATCTATCTCTATCTATTTATCCTATTCTATCTATCCTATTCTATCTATCTATCTCTATCCTATTCTATCTATTTATCTATCATCTATCTCTATCTATCATCTATCTATCTCTATCTTCTATTTATCTATCATCTCTCTCTCTCTCATCTCTATCTTCTATCTATTTATCTAACTATCATCTATCTCTATCTATCTATCTATCTATCTATCTATCTATCTATCTATCTATCTATCCTACCTACCGTGTCTGTCTTATCTTATCCTATCCTAACTTGGGAGGTGTACCCCAGGGGGACGGTTCCAGGGACCTCATAGCACCAGAAACCTCAGAAAACCGTGCCAAGAGAATCAAGCCAGCCCTTCCCCCTTCTAAGAAAACCAAGAAGCACCAGCTGAAAGAAAAACACAGAGCAGCCCTGGACAATAGAAATACTTAAGTAGAGCCATTAAGATAAGGGGAATCAGGATAAAAATAACTAAACTTAATAAATAAACCAAAAAAAAAAAATGGTGGCATTTTGCAAAATAAACCTGGCGCTGAGCAGTGGGTGGGTCTAAATGACCTTAAGGTTGACTTCTGAAACAGGGTTGCCCCCCCCAATTTTAGGATAAATCCCCAGACAAATTGGAACTGCCACAACGCCCCTTGGAAACCCATCGGTTTTTCCACCCGTTGCCTGCGCTGTGCCTTGGGAATGTGAAGCAACATTATTACGCCCTTTATGGCTGTGCATTATTGTTCTTCTCCACCCAGCATGAAGCGCAATTCTGGGAACAGGGCAACCTTTCATCCTGCGGCCTCTCCCTTTGCAAAGGCACTTCTGCGTGGGTGCAATTTGCAAATTTGCAAATCCGTATTCTGAAGGCGGTCTAGAAAGTTGCCTTCCTCCACTTCAGGGGCTGGCAGAGGGGAGTGGGAGGCGTCTACCTGTTCTTGAAAGCCCCTGAAGGCAGGGCAAGAAGGAACAACGGATGAAAATTAATCAAGGAGAGAAGCAACCTAGAATTAAGGAGGGATTTCCTGACAGGACATTTGTCAGGACATTTAACCAGTGGAACGGCTTGCCACCAGAAGTTGTTTGTGCTCCATCACTGGAGGTTTTCAAGAAGAGACTGGACAGCCATTTGTCTGAAATGGCATAGGGTTTCACCTGCTTAAGCAGGGGGCTGGACTAGAAGACCTCCAAGGTCCCTTCTAGTCCTATGCTTGTATGATTCAGGAAGGAAGGAAGGAAGGAGAGAGGGAAAGGGAAATAATAGGAAGGAAGGGAGGAGGAAGGGAGGGAAAGGGAAAACAAAGAAGGAAGGAGGGAAGGAAGGAAGGAAAGAGGGAGAGAGGGAAAGTGAAATAATAGGAAGGAAGGAGGGAAGGAAGGAGGGAGGGAAAGGGAAAACAAGGAAGGAAGGAGGGAAGGAAGGAAGGAGGGAGAGAGGGAAAGTGAAATAATAGGAAGGAAGGAAGGAGAAAGGGAGGGAAAGGGAAAACAAGGAAGAAGGAAGGAAGGAGGAAGGAAGGAGGGAAAGGGAAAACAAGGAAGGAAGGAGGGAAGGAAGGAGAGAAAGGGAAAACGGATGGATGGATGGATGGAAGGAAGGAGGGAAGGAAAGAGGAAGGGATGGTGGGATGAAAGGAAGGAAAGGGAGAGAGTGAAAGATAAAAAGAAAGAAAAAAAGGAAAGAAAGAAAGAAAGAAAGAAAGAAAGAAAGAAAGAAAGAAAGAAGAAAGAGTCAATCAGTGGAAGCT